GTGCATATCTCTCCGAGCTGTTCGCATGAACCAGATTCCCAAAGCCTCTGCATATAGGAGAGTCGGTTGTGATCTATCTGGTAGCTTCCTACGCTTCGTAGTTAAGCCAGAATGATTCTGCACGCACGCACAACGCGAAAGTGCCTGTTGTTGCGGTATATGCTCCGCTCGCTTCGCTCGCTCCGCAACTACTGTTTTTCATATCACTAGGGTGGTGAAACTCCATTGACGCCATCTAACATCATACCAACCCAACCGCAGCTTACATGTCCAGTATACTTCCATCGTCATCAATCGCTCCCAAGCCCTGCTGCTCACCAACCACCAATTCTAATACGAGTTTAACACCACTTTTCAGAGTAATCTAAAATGCGGAGAAAATATATGCACATGGTCAACTCCATGTGTTGGTAACAATGGAGTTTCACCAACCTAGTGATATGAAAAACACTAGTGAAAAATATATTTCACGACTACTGCATATCACCGCGAATATCGCGTTTTTCACCGAGTATTACGCCACTTCACGTAAAACGGGTCGTGAAACTCCAGTGAAGAACTATTAAACGCAGAGTGAAATGGTCGTATTCATCATCGTGACTAAAATACAATAATGAGCGCTAAATTTACACGTCTAGATCCATGCAAAATTCATACCTTAACAAACGTATTTTGGTGAAATGGAGTTTCACCGATGATATGAAAAAACACTGGAGTTTCACGACCCGTTTAACGTGGAGTGGCGTAACACTCGGTGAAAAACGCGATATTATTCGCGGTGATATGCAGGAGTCGTGAAATCTATTGTCAACTACTGTTTTTCACATCACTAGTGTGGTGAAACTCCACTAGTGAGAAACATATTTCACTTCGTGGAAAACAATTGTATTATCACTCGCGAAAATATAAACGTCTTAAACTTCACAGAAAATACTACACCTCTTCAAAACGGGTGAAACTCCAATAAAATGCTCCCGACCACGCCACGTCGAGAACTTACTGGTGAACTCCACTGTAAAAATTGTGACTTCGCAATAAGCGAACTCGCGATCAGGTCACTCAGGCATCCCATAATCTGAAATTAATTATTTACAAAATTCCAACATTGAACGTGTCCCTCAAAACGACTTCAAATGAGTCGTCAATTATCCCCAAGAAATCAACTGTTAAAAACGACTTCGCTCTCGATCAAACCACCCCATATCACTTGGCGTTTTTCGCCAAGTGAAATGTGAAAAAAAGTCTCTCACTAGAATTACGAGTGAAACTCCATTGCAGTGTGGGAATATATGCGCATAATCAACTACATGTGTTGGTAAAAAAATATGAAAATTCTGAGAACATTTTGGAAAATTATCGTTAGTTTTTCGTGCCCTTTACCCAAATTCGTGTGTGGATTTTCACAATGTAGTGAGGAAACTTTGTGGCGGTAGCGGCATTTTTATAGAAATAATCGATAGAATGTTATTGTGACTTCGTGTGTGTCTCTAGTCTCCATAATTGTGTCCTAGCGTCAAGCTAGTGGACTCAGGTTCATAACTAATTTATTGTTGTGGTTGCTATTGTTGTGGCTATTCCCGACATCATTGAAGTTGCGTAAAGCTCTATTGGGGTATCTACCTTGTCATCAAGTTTATCACTTAAGACCTTTGTATACTTCGACGGTTAAGAGTCTTGAGTTGTATTACAACCGTCATAACTAACGAGCTCAGATTAGGAAAGCAAACATATATTCCTGCATTGCTGCACTGTATTTTTGCAATGAAATTTCACCCTAGTGATATGAAAAACACCAGTGAAAAAATATTCACCACCACAAATATCGCGTTTTTCACATGGAGTATTACGCCACTTCACGTAAAACGGATTGTGAAACTCCAATATATCATATTTTTAATAACTCACTTGTCTCTTTAGCACATTTGGCCCCACTTCAAAGCACTCTAACAAATGTCCAACACCATTCAAGTGAACTATAAACTTCTCCTCCGATTTTTTATCACCAACTACGCAGTTCCACACACAATCAACCGCGCAGATACCAGAAGATAATCTAAAAACAAAATTCTGTAATCATTCGACGTGATAAAAAAATTTAAGAAAAACTTATTTCCAAGGAAAAATTGTTGCGATTTCAAACAAAATCTTTCTTTGGAAAATCGCAACTGAAAAAGTTCATTAAAAATCTTAACTGGAGAGTATTCGCCGAAAAATCGTGCAAATTTTCCCAAATTTTTCTGCTTTTTCAGAAAACAAATCACGTTTTGTCCCATTTCGTCGAGTGCTTAAATTGCGCCTCATGCACACATTGAAATTTTCTTCTGAGTTCTAAAAGTTTCAGAATATACGTCAATTCCGAGAGGAAAAATATCTAAAATTTTACTCAAAATTGGAAAAAAATCCGCGTGTCATCGGTTGAGCTCATTATATCATGAAAATTCACAAACTACTGGGGGGGATGAAAATTTACGAAAAACAACACGAAAAATTTTCAGCAATTTCCTTCTCCTCACATGCTAATACTAAATTCACCACCTGCATACAGTGTTGTGATATATGTTCGCTTTCCTCAACTGATCCTAGGAGTTTCCTCACTAATTATAGGAGTTTATGTACAAAGTATGGTAGAAATGTGCAGGAATTTACCATAATTTGCCAAAATTTCCTCAGAATTGTCAGGTTGTTACCAACATATGTGGTTGACCATGTGCATATTTTCTCACACCAATACCGACTGAAATTTTCTCTAAATATACATAAGTTTTCCGTTTCTATACGATCACTCACGTGCCGTCCACATCCCCATCACATCCCCATGCAGTCAGCAATGCTTCTCGACCCGAACTGTATCTGTAAAATATAAAAAAGGTGGTATTGGAGTTTCACAACCCGTTTAACGTGAAGTGGCGTAAAACTCGGTGATATGCAGTAGTCGTGAAATACATTTCCACTACTGTTTTTCAACACCACTAGGGTGGTGAAACTCCTGTGAAAACAAGTTCACAAATTTTATACATAAATTTTCGAACTAAGTTCGTAGGTCTACACTTTAGTTCATGAACTCGCAGAGCTACATAGGAATCCCAACAACGGTGTAAAGGTATAAAATGAAGTTTCACCCTAGTGATGTAAAAACACTAGTGGAAAACATAATT